AGTAGTGTCTCGCGCTGCACGTGTACTTGGCGCGAGACTACCGTGTCTCTTGATGATGCATACATAAGAATAATGCAATCATATTATAATAAAATAATCTTAATATATAGTTCTTATTATAGTATATTATAGTTCTTAATAGTAAAATATATAATGTTTAAAACATTTCCCCTGTTTTATTAGAGTAAGCAGATTATCGCAATCGCACACGACGATATTTTCCAATCGAGCATATTCTCGATTAAACACAGTCTTGATCAATCATATCCCTAATTGAACACAGTCCGTTCGAACACGTTTAGTTGCATTTGGATACAGTCTCGATCGGACACCGTTCCGATCGGATACAATCCCGCGATTAGGCATTCCCGAAAAACAGTAATAATTGTATTTTTGGTCACTCTCAACTTTTAATTTTTCTTACAGTAACCATTACGCACTACTACAATAAACATTATCCCAGCAATCAGTACGGATTTCACAGTAACCATTACAATAAAGACCAGTAGGTAATGATTCCGGTGTAATATTGTTTAAAATGTAGGCAATAAAACAAGGAGGGATCATATATCTGACATCTGGCGATTATATTCGTATCAACTTCGTAAAGTCGAGTCAAGCTAGATGGCGATACTAGCGTCATCATGCATGTTTCCGCGCGCTCAGCGCGGGCCGTGTAGTACCGTGAGCGTTGAAGACAGTGTATTGCGCGTGCGCGAGGCGGATGCGGGCGAGCCGGTGTTGACGCAATGCGATTTATGCCCAGTGCTCTGAATGTCAACGTGAAGAAATTCAAGCAAGCGCGGGTAAACGGCGGGAGTAATTATGACTCTCTTAAGGCGCCTCAACAGCAGCGATGCTGCAGATTAAAAACTCTTGGCACTAGCTCACTGATGTAATTTTATACATAAGGTAAATGTCCCTATGGCCGACACCTATAAGGCCGACCCAACAAAAGAATGGCGTTGTCAAGCGTGACAAAAATAAATTCGATAAAGAGTTTCATACTGGTGGATAGCTTCATCCATGCACTTTCCAAAAATCGTAGGCTCAATCCATTCCGTCAAGTATTTTTCTAGATAGAGAAGAATAAAGGCGCACTAGTGCGTGCCCTCTCTACCGACCAGCTGTGTCCAATTTTGACCGGGCATGTCCCCATTACCGATTACCTTTTTTCAGAGCATGCGAGGCGGAGGTTTCAACCGAAAAGTAAACATAAAAATAAACATAAATCAATGATAAACATGATAAATACACATAAGTCATGAAAAGGTATTTTTATCAAGCCAAACCTGGACGACGACGACGACGACGATGGCGATGACGGTAACGACGGCGACTCTCCGCGCTTGGCAGCGTACGAGTCGCTGCTGAGCTGATAATTGCTCGCGCGTCGCCTGTCCATCCTGAACGAAGGGAAACGCTCGCGGTAACAACGGCTCGCACTGTGCCAGAGCTTACGCACGTAACCGGTACCGTGGACGTGGACGACACGGAGGGCCGCGCCGAGCTCGTGAATCGCCTCCCGCAGGTAACCGAGAACGTGATACGCGTGCGGCGACAGCAGACTGTCGTTGACGAGCAGGCGTTGTATATCAGCACGCACCCACACGTCACACTCAACACCACGGCGCCGCGACTACCGAGATCCCACATAGTACTGCCTCTAAGCGGATAACCTCACCGCAGCCGTCGGCTTCCGCAGCTTCGATGATACTGACGTTTACGTGTATGGTACTGGGGACATGCAGGCGTTTTGCTGTGTCTGACCTCGACCATCGAATAAATAAAAAAAATGACAGTTTTTGACTAATTTTTTTTTTCGAATATGGCAATCAAATTGTAACAAACCATTTAGCGCTCGGATTATTCCTTACAAAAGGATTTTGAACGAAATACGGACTATTTAGGCGACCGACAATTCCTAACCTCACTCTTAAGAATACGCGTGGATGGTGACGTGCGGCAAGAAATGCGAAAAAAAATATATTTAACTATTGTGCTTACTCTGCACGTTATAATTATTTTGTACTGCACGAATTCCTGAATTTTTCCACTGCACTAATGAACGTGTTGTTGAATCAGCAGCCTCGTAAACAACGTTTCACGTCAAAAAAGTCGGTAGAGGGAACATGGTCGGCCATGGGGACATTTACCTTAAACGACGGTCTGAGACCTGATCCACCCAAAATTTTATTTATTTATTTATTTATTCGGGAGCACTCTACACTCCCGATTTTAATCTATGCCGGGACTTTTGCCGTGGACATCAGTGATGCGAGTCGCTCGGATGGGCACCGAGCGGCGGCAGAGCCGTGTGACCGAACCGCCCCGGCGCACGGGCGGACGCCTCCACGTGGCTCCCCGCGGTAACGGCAACACTAAGCCGGCCAAGTTCCGTTTCCCCAAGTTGGGGACTCTGCTTAAATAATTTTTCCAGCCCGTACGCAGGAATCTCGCGGCAGATCAGTCAGATGGGTTTCCCTCCTGCGGGAGGACTTGCCAAGAGTGCTAGATAGGCCAGTTACTATAAGATAGGTGATAATAAAGAACGAAAGTGCTAGATCTTGTATCCTTGTTATTGGGTAACCCGTTGCGCAGATGAGCGATCCAATAGTCAACCTGCAGGGTCGCTCGAGCCGGGACCCGTTGTTATCAGGAACCGCACTGCCCCGAAGCGGTAAGACGCGCCAAAAGGACGTGATGCAAATAGCCAAATGCCTCGTCATCTAATTAATGACGCGCATGAATGGATTAACGAGATTCCCACTGTCCCTATCTACTATCTAGCGAAACCACTGCCAAGGGAACGGGCTTGGAAAAATTAACGGGGAAAGAAGACCCTGTTGAGCTCTGCGGCTCACCAAAGGAGCATTCGTTTCCGGTCTTTGGTCGAAGTAACAGCGTCCTCGTATATGAGACGTGCCGGTAGAATAATCTAGAAAAGCGAATCGTAACGTGTGGTAAAAGCAGACTGTATTCCCTTATTTCACTATTGTAGTGAACTCGTATATCTGCGAAGTGGCGAGCAGATCATTTCTGCGAAAGATACCTAGATTTGATTGAGATACGCCACGGGACTATACCGGCCAGGCGAACGACCATTACCGCTGCGTGTGAACGCATGAAGGAAGGGCCGCCATTACAGTATTGTAATATCTCACGAAGGAACAGCAGCCATTGAAAGACTTGAGATGCTTGATGGCCTACCAAAAAGGGAAAGAGAGATTCTTGTATTAAAAATCTATCATGCAAGCAGAGATTTCTCCAGTAAAGAGGTAAATCTTAGATTTCTGACAACCACAGATCCTTTTCGGGTTTTGAGAGTCACTTGTACAATCGAGTGTTGTGGCGGATTAATATTCCCGTTTCCTTATTGCGATCTTGATTACAGATTTCTGGAGAGATTACGCGAGGCTAACGTCCTCAGAGAGAAAACCAATAGTCGTGACATCACATTTAACGATTTAATAGATTCGAATCTGAGCTCAGTATAACTTTCTTTAATTGTATTTTTAAGGTTACAACCGGTATATAATTATTCCTTTTCTTTAAAGTTCAATTATTTAATTCAAGTCGATAAATACTTATTGTAATTTTGCCCGAGAAAACAATCTTTTTCTTAATTATACTTGCGTTACTTATATTTCATACTTGCGTTACTCATATTACAATATTCATTGCGTTCAACATTATTTCACGTTAACTTTAACTAAAGATTCCTTCGCACGTTCACTTATTTCACAATGTCTACTGTAAATACAATCGGATTCATTTTGAACGATGCAAGGCTGCGGCGATTAACGATATATTATTCGTATAGATTGATACGTCTTTTCTTATCGAATAGGATACCTGCTGACTAAACGGTGACATATAATTTGGTATATTACTTCTTTCGCATTTTCGATTATCATCTTAGTTCATTTATTTTGCAAAGATTAGCTACATTCAAAGCTATTGGCTATTCGAACGAGAATGAAATTACGTTACGAAGGAAAATACGACGTATCAATCTATCTCTTATATGTACTTGAATTTTCTATGAATTATGCTTATCTATTTATGTGTGATTATTTATTTTATTCTCTATGTGATCTGTTTCATACAAAGGGCCAACTATCCGAATCTATTATGATGCAAGCTATGATCTGACAAACAATTATAACTAAAATTACATACAGTCCATAGAAATATTAAACGGACATCTCTTGTTGTGAAAGATCAGAATTTAGAATTCATTGAATGAGTTGAGTTGTATTTATTTATTCAAACTGAGAAAAGGACAATTTGTTTGGTACTATTGTTTCTCTTTACTTGCTTGGTGCGCAAGCTGACGCCCGTCGCTTAACGTTTGTAAAAGTTCGCTGTACCATTTGCTTTGTTACATTATATATTTCTTAGAGCACAATAAGACAATTATTAGTTGCGGCTCCCTCACTCCTAAGTTTTAATCTCACACGAAGGTAAGCATTCTTCACTAATACGCTAACGCTGAGCTAACAATTTATTCTACAATAACTATTATGAATCTCATATATTTCTCTGAACTGCTCTGAACTCGCGCAATAGAACGAGTATGGAGAGCTAACAGTAATGATTATAGAATCTCACATGACTGAATGATGGAACTTCTCAGTAATTATTTCTTTTTTCCTATTTCTTTCAGACAGTATTGCTTACGATTTTAATCTTTAGATATTACTGTGTTTTTCAGTAGACATTACTTTTTTTTAAGCAAGCATCTGTGTATTGAGATTAAAAGTTGAGAATGAACGAAAATTCAAACTATTACTGTTTTTCGGCTCTCAGTGTGGAAAGTTGGAATTCCATGTCTGGGACTCTGTCTGATTGGGACTGTATCTGTATCCAACTGTGCGTGTCTAATAGGGACTGTGTCTGATCGCGGTAAATATCGTGTTCGATTGATAGTGTGTGCAATCAGGACAATCTCTTTTATAGTTGTTTTATTTTTTATGTTAAAATAGTTTCAAGACAATCTAAAATAAGTCACACTTACTATAATGTACTAGATTCGTGGAATTTTCCGATTTAGGTTCCAATCCATCAATACAATTTCTCCAGAGGCCTACATGTTTGTAGATCAATTTTCTACCAATTTTATTACCTCCCAATGGTAAACCTTGATTATTTGGCGATTTTAGTATGAACCAATGATCAGCTCCTATAGCCACTGACCATATGCATACTGAGAGTCCAACGAGAGCAGTGCAACCAAAAAGAATTCGTCTTTCAAAGATAACCTATTAAGAAATAGTAATATATTTTTATAACTTAACTTTCATTCTTACATAACTTTTATTTTTATAACTTAAATAAAGACAAAACCGAGAATGCCGAGATGTTTTTTATTAAAAAATCGGACAACACTATTAATATGCAAAATGACACGGAGAGTCTTAATGCTTTCTATGAACATATTATAAAGGAAACGTAATATCCCCTTCTCATCTACTTCCCTCTCTTTACTTCAGCAAAATTCGAAGCCACTGTTTATTGTTCTGTCCTTTCTTGTCAGTAGCAATTTCACCATCGCATGACAGGGACTCGTCCTTCTGATAGAATACGGACAACGGAAATGTAGTTAAACTGTCTTTTATTTCTTGTAATTAACACTCCAATATGTAAGTTTTTTTATTTATATAATGTGTCTGGACTTATTCTGCTTGTTGCGTCCTACAAAATCTGATGTTTAGTTTTTAGATTCGGCATATTTTGGCAACTATGTCCAACTAATTAATATTTGTGAGTTATACACGCTTGAAAAGGACCGAATTTTGCGGTCGAAACGTAGCGTCCTTTAAATAATAAAATTGCCAATTTGGTCGAACACAACTCCTGTGCTAATTCTTAAATAAAGATTAGTGAAAAGAGTGGCCGATTGATCACGTTGCAATTGGCGAATAACCTGCACTTGGACACTACATTTAAATACGTTGCAAATGGATACGTTAATGTTGGACACTGTTTAGTTGGATACAGTTCATTTAGACGTAATAATTTTGGACACCATTCACTTGGACACACGAAAGTAATACACGTCATTCGTTTGGACGTGAAAGAATGCACGCCCGAGCGCTGTAAGCACCAGTCGATATGGGGTGGACCTCACTTCACATGGAAAGTTGGAAACCTATGTGGACTGTATAATGATAAACCACGTTTCACACTGTAAGCATTGGGGGGCGGTGTGGGGCGGACCTCGTTTTGCATGGAAAGTTGGAAACTTATATGGAACCGTACAATGGCAGACCTCGTTTCGTACTATAAGCACCGGGTTGTGTGGAACTCGTTTTTTGAGTGCATTGTTTTGTGTCCAAATGAACAGCGTGCATTCTTTTGTATCTAAGTGAGCGACGTGCATTTCTTTCGTGTCCAAGTGAACGGTGTCCAAAATTATTGTGTCTAAGCGAACCGTATCCAATATTAACATGTCCATTTGCAACGTGTCTAAATGTACCGTGTCAAAGTAAACCTCTCCCGCATATGGCTATGTTGTAATTGCCAACGTGTTACGATTGACTACGTTACAATTGCCCTCTGGTTGTAATTAACCACGTTACGATTGCTGACATAGTAATTGACCATGCGTTGTAATACTGGTTTCAAAACATGTGGTAGGTGGGTTATATATTTTGATTCTCATTTTGTGTAACCTAAAAAGTATAATTTTAAGTTTAGAATCTTTATCTTATAAAAATGGAGGGGTTATATGCAGTTAAGAGGCCCAAAAAAAACGATTTTTTTTTAATTTATCCTGGAAAGGCATTTTAATTTAAAAACACAAAATTTTACACACTTATTGTAATCACTTTTAAGTATAATCTTACATTTTTTTGTTTAAAAATAATGATTTTTAAGGCCGCTATAGCCGACGCCGGGAGCATCTCTAAAAAAAGGTGTCTTGCGGTGACCACTCTATCTCTGGACTGAATCATCTGAAATAAAAAAACCAAAAAGATTTCGTTAATATAATATATTATCTAGTATTTAATCGAAGGAATAAGCAAAATATTAATTTTAACAAAAATGGCGGTTTCTTAAACAAAAAATTTCGATTTTTACTATAAATTTTGGGCTTAAATTGTTTATAAAATGGAAAATATTTATCGACGAGTAAAATCCTTCGATCAATTACTAAAAAATATATTTATAAAGCTTGTAAAAATTTGAGCCCGATCGGTTCAGCCGTTTCCGAGAAATCTTGGTCACCGACTTTGAAAACACAGTTTTGAGATAAACGCGTTTATCTCAACGAAAGAGCACTTTATACGTAGTAAAAAATTTTTTTTTAACTTACATTGAGTCGTCTATTCCAGGCCCGTACAGTAAGCCCTCTGATCCTTCGGCAGCTTCTAAAAGTTCAATTTGATGCTGTCTGCGGACCTGCTACCTGCTTTTAAACGCTCTGTGGCGTCTTTACGAATGTGCGTGTAACTTCGAGAATATTTGTCGGATCGACTTGAAATTTTCAGAGTATATACTTGAATACATGTACATTACAAAAATGCAATAAACCAAAATTCGAATTTTTGAAAATTCTAACTGCATATAACCCCTTGTTAAAGAACCCTCGAAATTAAAAATAAAATTGGAAAAAGCTGTGAAAGTCAGACACAGTTCTTTGTGCGTAATATCAGAATCACTGATTCATTACTTATGTTTTACATCAATCAATCTGTACGTTTCGGCTCAAGTTTGAGTCATCTTCAGCGGTATAATATTAAAAAATTAAAAAGTTTTCCGTTCCACGCACCGTGGTGAGTTTCATGATTGGAGATTTCAGAAACAAAATTGAAAAAACATACTTAGAAACTAAAAGATTTATATCTGTAAAAATAATTTCATTGTTATTATAGATATTGTTAAAAGATCTAAGGTAACTCACCAAGTAGTCTAGAGAACGAAAACATCGAAACAAGTCGAACAAAGCAGATATAAAATTACGGTATGGTATAAGGGAGTAGGCAGGCAAGTCCGAGGGCCCTGAGAAGGCAGCCCCTCCATCGGACTCGGGTGCGGTGGGCTAATAACCCGTCCATCTTAAAAAACACTATTACTGAAACCGACACAGAGATTAGCCGGACCCCACAAATGGAGATGACCTTTGGCATGAAATCCAGGACCAGATTCGGAACATGGAACATTAGGACAATGCTAGAAACTTCACGCCTGGCACAAGTCATTCACGAAATGGATAGATATAGGCTCCAGGTGCTCGGTCTATGCGAGACAAGATGGCCCAAGCAGGGCGAACACATCACCTCGGACGGGCACATGCTTCTCTTCTCCGGCAAACCAACAAATGAACTCCGCGCCTCAAGCGTGGGTATTCTATTTAACAGAAACACAAGGAGGGGACTTATAAACTGGAAACCGGTGACAGACGGAATAATCTGGGTTAGACTAAGGAGTAAAGTCACGAACATAACCTTTATCCAATGTTACGTCCCTACTGAGGTCTCAGACGAAGAATCTAAAAATGTATTTTACGAACAGCTAACCGCAACCATACGGGATCTTCGAAAGTCCGACATTGTAGTGCTCATGGGTGACTTTAACGCCAAAGTCGGCCAAAACAATAGCGGACTGGAGCATGTCATGGGCGCCCACGCGCTAGGACAAATGAACAATAATGGTGAGTTCCTCATCGAATTCTGATCGACCCAGGGTCTAATAATCAGGGGATCGATATTCCCACACAAGGACATCCACAAAGCAACGTGGATTTCCCCGGATAATCGGACGATGAATCAGATTGACCATATCATGATCAGCAAAATGTGAAGGGGTTCTCTTCTGGATGTAAGAGCAAAACGAGGCGCCGATGTAGCTAGTGATCACCACTTGCTTACCGGCATAATGCGCATAAAAGTAGCAAAGTATTGTACAAAGCAAAAACGAATATACACAAGCGGAAACATTTCGCGACTGAAAAACTTAAGGATCCCAAGTATAATGATGCCTTCGTCAGTAAAGTACAGAGTACGATCTCGGAGGCAGACTTGCAGCATTGCGACGGCAGAAAGAGATGGGACGTAGTAAAGCGTGCCATCCTTGACTCACAAGGGAACGGTCGGAAGTGTCCCTACCCGATTTGGATGCGCTTTGGATATGTTGTTGAGCATCAAAAAATATTAGACACGTATTTTTTTTGCAGCGTATCTCGACGTTTAGGGGTTGAAACAACCCCTTAAAAATAACGACCGATTTGGATGCGCTTTGGATATGTTGTAGAGCATCAAAGAACATTAGACACGTGTTTTTTTTAGCTGCGTATCTCGACGTTTAGGGGTTGAAACAACCCCTTGAAAATAACGGATTTTATAGTTTTTAGCAAATATCTTTGAAAATATAAGGCGTAACGACAAAACATTTGTACGAAATATTTATGGCTTTTTGTGCTCTTTACAATGGCGTAATCAGATTTTTCAAATTTGTCATATTTTTTAATTTAACCCCACTCTCACCTATTATTTTTGCCAAATATAACAATTTTTCCAAAAGAGCGTCAAATGCTAAATACACACATGTGTATTTTTATTATGATACCATTATTAGATTTTTGGCAAGACGAGATGATATGTGGTATAGGCGTCGCGCTGTAGGTAGGTGTTGCGTTATTTCTGTTCAGTTGCGCCGTATGCTTAAAAATTTCCCTTGTCAACTCCGGGATGACCGAAAGCGTTGATGCAAAGGCCAGCGCAAGGCACTGACAGCGAGAGGTTAACGCTATTTCGAGAGTCCTAGACTAGCAACGGAATGTCGACTCCGACATTATAAATACCGCCGAATTGTAAAATCGGCTCTTAAATTTGCGTTGGAAAAATTGTTATATTTGACAAAAATAATAGGTGGGGGTGGGGTTAAATTAAAAAATGTGACAAATTTGGAAAATCTGATTACGCCATTGTAAAGAACACAAAAGCACGATCCCCCGACTATTAGATCCTGGGTCGACCAGAATTCGGTGAGGAGCTCACCATTATTGTTCATTTGTCCTAGCGCGTGGGCGCCCATGACATGCTCCAGCCCGCTATTGTTTTGGCCGACTTTGGCGTTAAAGTCACCCATGAGCACTACAATGTCGGACTTTCGAAGATCTTTTATGGTTGCGGTTAGCTGTTTGTAAAATACATTTTTAGATTCTTCGTACAAATGTTTTGTCGTTACGCCTTATATTTTCGAAAATATTCGCTAAAAACTATAAAATCCGTTATTTTTAAAGGGTTGTTTCAACCCCTAAACGTCGAGATACGCAGCTAAAAAAATCACGTGTTTAATGTTTTTTTATGCTCTACAACATATCCAAAGCGCATCCAAATCGGTCGTTATTTTCAAGGGGTTGTTTCAACCCTTAAACGTCGAGATACGCAGCTAAAAAAAAACACGTGTCTAATGTTTTTTGATGCTCTACATCATATCCAAAGCGCATCCAAATTGGTCGTTATTTTTAAGGGGTTGTTTCAACCCCTAAACGTCGAAATAAGATGCAAAAAAATACGTGTTTAATATTTTTTGATGCTCAACAACATATCCAAAGCGCATCCAAATCGGGTAGGGACACTTCCGACCGTTCCCTTGGAGAGCGTCATCGGGTTCAAAGAACTAAATAAAGCCGTGTGGCTAACGTCGGAAACATGGAACCTGATCAACCGGAGAAGGGAACAGAAACAACAAATACTCAATGCCAAAACATTAGACGAGAAAGTCAACGCTAGTAGGAGCTACATGCAGCTTAATAAGCAAGTAAAACGTAGCGCCAGAAATGACAAAAGAAAATGGGCGGAGAGCCTAGCAGACAAGGCGCAGATTGCTGCCAAGTCGAATAAACCTCGGGAATTATAAACAAAACAATTTCCGTCGCCAGCAAATAATTCAAAATAAGTCGTTTTATTTTCGACCTAACTGGCCAATTGAAACAAGATTGCACGACGTTTCGACCGAATTCCGGTCCTTATCAAGTGCTTTAATTTAAGTTACACCGATCCGCATGACAAATTTAATTGCATCGTTGACGTGGTGTCCTGACAACGTCAAGACAAACGCAA